ACAAATGAACGTATATACATGAAATTTTCACTTGTTGTTTATATTTGCATTTTCTATACACGATAACATTTTCAAAATATTTTGATTTATTTTGAACTGTTTAAGGACATTTTAATTTTCCATTAGTTTTTAGTTCTTTTTCTAAAAATATCAATAAAATTTTATTTGTTGGTTTCGAAAGCTTGAAAATTTAATAGAAGGCTCCTAGTATATTGTTTCAAAGGCAGATGAAAAATATTAAAAATCCTTAGTCACAATTTTTTTTTATAAGCATTTAAAGTTCAAAAATTGACAAAATATGGAAAAATCACGAAAATTAGCAAATTATTTTGAGTTAAGAATTCGTAAAAATTTTTCTTTTTAAACCTAAGATTTGAAAATGTAATACAAGATTCCTTATAAGATTATCTACCTTTATTAAAAAAAAAAATGTCTATAAGAAAGTCGAATTAAATTTTTATGAACGTTTGAAATTCAAATTTTTACAACATTGGATATTCACTCGATTTCTCATGTAGCGATTTCCTTTTTTTGTTGTAACACAAAAATGAATAACTGTAAATACATGAAAATTTCACTGAATGTTTATATTAGCATTTCCTATACATCATACAATTTTGAAAATATTTTGACTCTTTTTGAGGTGTTTGCGGACATTTTCAGTTTTCAATTTTTTTAGTTTTTTTTTCTATAAATATCAATAAAGTTTTATCTGTTGGTCCAAAAAGTGTAAAAATTTAATACAAGCCTCCTGATATATTGTTACAATAACAATTGAAAAATATTAAAAATACATAGGCACAATTTTTTTTAGAAGCATTTAAAGATCGAATTTTGACAAAATTTATCAAAATCTCGAAAATTATCAATCATTGTAATTAATAAATTATAAAATGTTCAGTTTTTATAGCTAAGGATTGAAAATTTAAAACAAGATTCCACGTAAGTAGTTAATTCTCTTACCGAAAAATCTAAAAAAAAAAAAAATCACAGTTTATTTTTATAGTCATTTTATGTTTAAATTTGGACGAAATTACATATTAAAAAACCTAGTTATTTTGTTGTGATTATACAATATTATTCGTGGGTAGGTACCTACTTGAAACTTCTAAAGTGTAGGTACTATTATATATCTATGATAGTATCAGGGTTTGTTATTGATGTTGATGTATAACGTGTTATAACCTAATGGATATTGTGAAAATTTTGATATGATTAATTTGGAATTTATTATAGGTCAATTTTTTTTTAATACCTTCGATATGTATATTATTTGTCTTAAACCTAGACTGACATACCGTCTTCGCTCAGAATCGTTTTTCTTATACAATGATATTGTATCATTGAATTCAAATTTAATAGCATCCATTATACAGTGACCCACTTGTAACCTACTGTACAGCAGAGCGATATCCACTTAAATATCTTTTTTATTAATATATTCATCCTATATTTGATATAAATGTATTAGAAATGCCGCAATACTCATTTAGTTGAATACGTATTCCAAATAAATAATAAAAGTATTCTTTAAATACTGATTATTTACTAACAAACAAAATATCATTGGATAAAAATAATTACCTACCATATCTATTATATCCAATATATGTTTCTGCATTATTATCCATATTGTTGTAGTTATAAAAATTAAAATGATATTTACAATAATTATAACTATAGAAATCCAATTAATATTTTTTATTTTCTTCAGCCCGTCCACATTCAAGCGTATCAATTTCTCGTGAACTGATTCGAGTGTAGTCAATACCGTTGACAGTGAATTATCGTAAAATATGCGCCAAATTGTACATGTCATGATATTTTAGATGAATTTGTTTTTATGTAAAAGTTATAACAACACGTTTTATAGTGTGAGGATAATGTTTGATTATAGAAGGTATTTAACAATATTTAATTTAGAACTTTAACTGAACTCCTTTGTTGGAAATTATATAAAATTGTTTTACAATAACTCATACAATAGATTAACTACTATAATGTACATTTTATTTTCAAAACTGGTATCATCATAAATGTATTTTTTTACTATTAACTACCTACTTAATACACAGCTATACATTTTAAATTTTATTATTTTATTGTCTACTTAGGTATATGTTTTCTTTTTTTATATAAGTTAACACATTATGTTTGAAATAATACATGCATCATATTATATTAAACATTTGGTCTATCAAAAATATCATAATCGGTAAGATCTTGCTTTAAATGTGTAAATAATATAAAAGAACAATAATTCAAGATTATTATAACATTAGGTAAGTTGTAAAATCAATAACCATATCTGATAATTGCTGAAAAATCTAATTGAAAAATAAATGAAATTATAAACAACTCTATTGTATGAACTAAATTGTAAAAACTAATTGTTTGTTAAACTAACTTGGTGTAATATAATAATAATATGTACTTTTTGTACCTGCCTGTGTGTATCAGTTATTTAAAAATCAAGACAGCAATTTAAAATAAAAACTAAACATTATTTACAATGTGTTATTTAATGTTTATAAAAATTAAATATTTTAAATTTATATTCCAAAAATATTATTATTTTTCTTTTATGGGGGTATCTAAGTATTAACTAATAATATATTTTATTTTAATACTAAATAGTCAACTATGGACACAATATTGATCAATAATAGATTTTAATATTTTATATAGGTAGGTAAGTCACTTTCGGATACAATAGTGGTTGTTCTTTGCTTTTCTTGTTGCGGTAATAAATTTAAATTAATATTTTCTTCGCGAGAATTAGAAGAAAAATATTGCTTTACTTGAATTTGTTATTAAGTTTTTTGAATAATGGCTTTTTAGCTTTTTAAAATCACTACAGGAATATAGAATATTAAAATATTTTTAATACAGGTAGGTACACGATATTGTCAATAATCAAGGTACCTACTAAAACAATTTCCAATTCAAATCAATGTCCACAAAGTCATAATTTTTTTCTTTATAAGAGTTTAAATCACGAAAATATATTATTATTCTAATATGTACGATGTACCTACTTAGATTGTAGTTGAACAATTGTAAAATGTTCAATTATTATAGGTAAGGCTTAAAAATGTAATAGGTACATTTTTCCTCATAAATAGTTCTTACTGCTAACCAAAAATCCTATTATACATATAATATAAACAAACCAAGTTAATTTTATTTTTTTTTCATGCATTTGAAGTTCAAATGTTGACGAAATTAGATATTTAAAGGAAGAATAATGATTTTAGTTATTTTGTTGTGGTTTAAAAATCATATTCATGGGTACTTGAAACTTTTAGTTATATTATTATACTTACAATACACAATGACATATTCAGAATATTTAGATACGTTTTAAGGTATTTTTACCACGAACCCATTCACATCGTTCTACGGTTTTTCGGAATTGACTCAAAAGTTAATAAGTATATTATATAATATAATACCTATGATTTAAATATAATAATTTTGAAGTTTTAAAAAATATTAATACAATTAGGGTATTACTAATAGTGAAAAAATAATAAAAATTACTATAATAGCAATATAATTATATTAATTAGGTAGCCGGTAGGTACCATGTGATAATAAATATATACTTTAGTAATATATAGGCTGAAATACCGTCTCAGATAAGAATCATTTTTTGGGACGTAAATATTTATAATTAAATTTAAATCTATTACAATTTCGAGTGACTAGGTACAGTCGAATACTCGTTTACCTTGGTACAACAAAACAGCAGACTAATTTTCCGACTTTGAAAAATTAATCTTTTGTCATTCATAGAGATAGGTAATACAGTTGTTTGGCTCAACTCTATCACACACGCGACAACTGCATATTTTGCAACTATGTATTAACTAGTTTTTTTACTATATGTCGGTAACGCCCTATATGAATTATATAACTATTATTAAACTATTATTTACTACAATATAACTACTAGGTACCTAGCTGTAATTAACTATAAACATTGAGTACCGATAAACCATAGAACGGTGAGTGTAAATAATAAAAGTGTGTTGTATACCTAAACAGCTTAAAATGAATGTAAATATTTTGAAAATTCATTGTTTATAGAATTAATAAATAAAAATATACACAATTTCGACAAATGGCAAGTCCCCTGCGATTAATATTTTAACATAAAATTTGTTTTTTGTTTCCCACTAGTTTTTCGTAAGGTTTTTGTAGTCAAGGTTACTTATTAACAAAAACATAATATTAAGAATTCACAGACTTTTCTAGTAATGGAAAAATATCGAGTTATATAATTATATATTACAATTGAAAATTAGAAAAACCATATTTACATAATATTTAACTAGGTATTCAAATATAGCCAAATCGTGTATAGATCACATTTTCGTTAAAAATAATTATTTAATAAATAAACCTCAGGCTGGTGTTATACAAATTGATATAACTGATCATCAATACAATATTTTGTCTATTTGTAAATCTATATTTAATAAAATAAATCTTGATTGAATATAAAAAAAATAATCTGAAACATATCTAAATAGAAAAAAAACGTGATTATAATGTAAAATATTATATTTTATAAAATATTCTAAATTCAATAAATGAAGCCAAACTAAATATATACACGATATACACTTGATAAAAAAATTAATATTCAAAAAAATACTGTCTTTAATTAAAAAATCTGTATCAAATAAAAATTATATACTTGATCAAAAATTTGAAAAAAAGAAATCAATATAAAATCTATATTAAAAAAAAAATCTATTTACTACTTAATCGATTATTCAGTGACTAAAAAAATCGGCTGTTAAAAATCGATTTTTGGTTTGATTATTTATTTTCGATGATAACATGAAATTAATAATCGAGTGGTAAAAAAAAATAATTGAACAGCCCTTCACTTCAAAAATTGTTGTGAAAAAGTGTACACTTACATAACAAACAAACCTATTGAGTACATTACTACATTCAAAATGGCGCGGGTGCCGCTCGGTTCTAGTTTACTGTAATATAGGTCCGGTGCTCCGGTTTTTAATCTGCGGAACGTTTATCACAGATGAACGCAGTCGGCGCCGAACATTAGGAACTAGTCTTAATTCCAGCCATTTGGATAGCCTCTGACGACGATCACTGGAATAGTTGCGCACATGCGTGGCCCGTCTGATTGGACATTTGAAGATTGACGACCACGATCTAAAACAACAACGTGACACCAACGACAAAATCGTCGTCGTCATGCGTACTCGTCCACCAACTCTGCTGATACTATGACCACTGGTTCCGCGAATCGGAATACCGCCACTACCACAATCCTGGACTTGCCGACAGAATTGATTGAGTATATTTGCTGCTATGACTCGTGGAAATTGATTGATGCCTTGAACCTCGCTGTATCGCACTCCAAACTCAAAAATTGTTTGTTCCACGAACCAAACTCTCGCCGAATCCCAATTCATACAAAAGTAGGTACCTATACTTGTGTGTTGTACTTTTTTTTACTTGCTTATAACAGATATTTTATTTGTGTTGGGTACAGTTGTTATTGACAAACAAAACACTTGGAAAGACGAGATCAAGTTGCGTATGAGTGTAGATAAAGCTGTACCTGTTGAGGCCATTGATATTATATTCCAGGCGCGGATTCAGGGGGGGGGGGCTATGGGTGCTCAGACACTCCCTGTCGTCTAAAGCTCATCCACATGGTTTGGAGCCTAAAAACAGTTAACAAATAATAATAATGATATTGAGAAGTAAAAATTGTATATAATATATCTGATACTTATGTAAAATGTAAATGTAAGATATTGCAGAATAGTAAAATACTCACATATGGATTAGCCGGATTTCTGAGTAAGGGACATCAACAATTTTCATATATCTGTTGTATTTTCTGCCATTCAGACTCAACCGCAGAATCATCAAGTTCTAAGAGTTTTTGGAAATCCCACACATATTTACATGTTAGTATATTTGTACTAATGAAGCGTTAAAAAGCTTACTGAATCCCGAAAACTAAAAAAAATATAAATATATTACCTTACAGTAAATTTGATTTATCTTTTCGTAATATATTATTAGATTTTTTTTAAATATTATATTGTTTATAATATAATCAGTAATTTTTGGTAGTTCAGTTGGTATAAGTTAGGTGGACATTCCGAAACAGTTTATTTTATGTAAACTATTAAAGAAATTCAACTCACTCAATTGGATGATTTAATTTTAAGATATGTGTATATTTTGGTTTAAGACAAAATAAAATTCAAGGTTAAGTAAATACATTTTCAAAATTGTCTGAAACATACTATGCTATATAAAATAAATTTTGATCGACAATTCTAGATTTTTTAAATAAAAAATATTAAGTATTGTTATAAAAAAAAGTTATTTTCTAATTTGAACACAATACTTGTGGAACTAAAATTTATAAATTTGAAACATTGTGGTACATCTAATTTTAACATTTTCTTATTTCTAATATCTAAATAGCTAATTTACTATTTAAACTGCTAATCTAAGTATTGTAAGACCTTATATTATATACAATACATTTTGTGTTATAAATTCTGATATATCCAAAACAACGTTTGCTGGCTGCTGTACTAAGGCAGATGACACTGTAATTAAGCTTCTCACAAATTTCCAACAGAGTATCAAATCAAGATTTAAAAATGTACATATGGCCCAAGAACTGGATAATTAAAATACATTAATTATCAACATTTAAATGAGAAATGTGACCACCAGTTACCAATATAATTGTATATATATATATATCTATATAGCTGTATAGGAATCAATTATGACAGCTAGAATTATCAATAATAAGATACATATAATACAGTACCGCCCTTATTGGGCAAATAAAAATTGGGAGGACTAAAATTGTAGATTATTAGTAATAAAGTGGGAAAATAATTAATTGTGATGCAGTAACTATAAATTAGAATTTAGATAACTATTTGCACAAGTATAACTAGTAAATATTATAACAAAATAAAGATAAACTTTTTATAGGACACGGGAATATTGTCAGATAAAAAATAATTCATAACTAAGTGAATTTGAGTAAATTTTTGTAAGGACAAAAAAGTAAATATTATTTTTTAAACATAGTGGGGGAAGAGGTTATACATTTCTATCCTTCATATAGTGAGATAATAATAAATCTATACATTTAAACACTATCTAGCAGTTCTTGAAGTGTTGACATTTGTTAAATTAGTCAAAATATATTAAGTTAATAGGTTAATAAAGTTAATATTGTGTAAAATTTTAAGTGTACTTATAAACTATAATCTATATAATATAAATATTTTTATAGCATTTGCTAATTATTATAGGATACAGATAAAAATAGCAGAATGAGCTATAAATTTGTTTTATGCACCAGGTTGTTTTATGACTCCAAATATGAAATTTTATAATGCTATCATAAATCTAGTTTACAAAAATTATAAAAATGTTGTCATTTATTTTAATTATTTTTTTTTGAATATATATGAAGAAGTGTAACTCAGGTAAAATCATTTAATATATAATTTTATTTTATTTTATTCTTATTTCCAGATCTGATAATTTTGAATAGTCGCCATGCTTAATTCATGTAATTTTAGTAATCAAAAAAAGTAAACAAACATCAATTTTTTATAAATTATAAATGTACCTATTAATTTATAAATAATATTTAGTTAATAAAATATAAAAGTTTTTTTTTTTAACTATGAACAGAATACATTTTTATTTTTGCTATTTTTCAAGATTTTAGAGTATATTATAGCGCATATTTCAGTTTTTTTAGAGCTATAAAATTCGAACCCTGGTCATAATTGTCTATATTGTTATAAAATAATATTGAAATAATTTTAATTAGTATTTGGGAAAAAAAATGTATAAAAATAGACATAGTTTATTCACAATCAGTTTTGGAGAGTGGAGCAAGTGATCAACTTGCCGGAAATACTATAATAGTAGGACTATTGTTAATAATAACAATTAATGTACTTATAGAATTAATATTTTAACACCAGATTTGAATAATTTCAATAGTAGTAATTTTGTGAATATTGAATAAACATAAGTAAGTAGTTATCTAAAAAATATACAGTTATAAATGTATTTGTGTATATTGCATAGGCATGTGTTAAAAAGCTTGTTCAAGATCTATGCCCAAGGGGAAGGCTCTGCTCACCCTCCCATAGGGATACCTTTAATAAGGCACTACTAGTAACTAAACTAACTAGTCGAATTATGGGGCCAGGTAGTTAGGTTGTATAAGTAATTTATTACGATTTTTATATTATAATCATAGTTTTTCAGTTTTTTGTCTATTTGAAAACCATAAAATCTATATATTGTATAAAATATATAATATAGAATTAATGAATATAAAATTAATGTTTGTCTGTCTGTCTTTGTGGGTGTCCTTTATGCATTTCTAAACCGTTCATCTGATTGCGATAAAATTTGGTACGGAGATAGATTAGACCTTTGAGTAGTAGGCTACTTAAAAAAGGGTAAATTAGAGGTCCAGCCCGGGGAGGTGCTCAAACAGGGATTTTGAGATTTACGATGGATATTTTTGTTTATAAATGGTTGCTATTGGATTTAATAATAATTATCATTGTTAATGCGATAAGCTTGTTGGCGCAGTGCCACTTCTATGTATTTTAGTACAGAATATTCAATATAAAAAAGTAGAATGATTTATTATAATGAAATTGGCAATTAATAGATTAGCTATAAGTACACTATGGTAATACTCAGAATAGACTGTGAATTTCTCAAGTGCGTGGGCTAGGTTAATGGCCACATAGGCCACATCCGTGAGAACCGAGATACAGTATCAAATTAGACAAGGGGAGAGGGGATCGGACTATAAGAGGGACCCCGAAACGGCCTGTATTCAGACGTGTACGCTCTTCCTAGCTGCAAGCACCTTCACGTTACTTTATGTAGTAATATTGTTAATTTGGACTTAGTACAAATTACTGAAGAATATCTTGATAAATGAAATTAACTTACACCTGTCTAGTGTCTAAACTTATTTCTACATATACCTTTATCTACATCAACATCACGGTCTTGCTACCTGCAACGTAACTTAACGTTATAATGGTAAAGTTATAAGTCCTATAAATTATATTAATCTGTATACAATTATCATTAAAATTGTTTAAATAGTTTATAACATAATAGAAAAGATAAGTTTAAGAGGCCTATCGCCTATGCCCTATTAGCTATTTATATTCCAGGATTGGCTCCAAAAATAAATATTCCTGAATAATGTTTTGAAATCTAATTTTTCTTAATTCATAATTTCACATAGTTATGATTCTGTAAGACCGCATATTTTATATTTTTCTATAGTATTTGAAAAAAAATGTTAGTAAAAACCAGTTGTTGAAAACCAATATGTTGACAATGCATAATATGATGAAAATATATTGATAACTAGGGCTAGGATTTATATGCAATAACAAATTGTAAAATATGCATTTGATTTACCAAAATATGCAAAAACAAATTTTTATTATTTCTAGATATTTATTTTTATCATAATTCATAATTTATTATTATTACATTAAACATAAGTTTATATAATTACATTAAATATTAGTTTATATTATTACACGCTACTATGATATGTTGTTTCAAATTTTCAAATAGGAACGACCGGCGATTTCAACGTAGAATAGATTTATACTGACTAAAACTCCTTTCCACATCACACTAGGTTATTGGTGCATATTTGAATGACGCTAATTTTCCCTGGAGTTAGATTAATATTAATATCTTCTTCTTCATTTTCATATTCACCGTTTATAATTCTATGCTGTTATTAAAACCACTCAAATTTTTAAGTACAAGTGTCTGCACATTTACGCAACACACATCGTACTAATGAAATTAAATACGTCGTTAAATAATGTGTAGGTAATCCTATCGGTCGTCCGACCAAGATAAGATTAGAAAGGTAATATTTATTCTATATATTTACAATTCGATGGATAAACCAAAAACTATCGGTATTATGAAAAAAACGCCATTTAAAATTAACAATAATTTATAAAAATTTAAAAATTTAAGTTAAAAAAAATAAAAACTCAAAAATCTATAAATATGCAATTTTATGCATTGTGTTCAAAATATGCAAAAAAAAATTGATTTTATTTAAACGAGTAAGCAAAATCGTGGACAAATCTGACAAACAATCAATTTGGACTTAAGGAAAAAAACATGCAAATGCATATAAATCCTAGCCCTATTGATAACACATATGACATATTATGGTGGACATCAAAGTAACAACTTTTACATTTGCATTTGTTTCTGTTCACCATATTTTATAGTACTTAATTATCATTTCTTAATTATTAGAAATAACTATACTCTGTTCAAAATAAGATCGTGACCCGGCGGCGACCAGTTTTCGTCGGGCGGCGGTCAGACATATGGCCAGATGCCGTCCCCACTACAGCGACGCGTCGAGCGCAGCCACGGAAAAAAGCCACGCCCATGCGCACAACTCGGCCGCCGGGTCACGATCTTATTTTGAACAGAGTATATATAGAAAACTATTATAGGTGTGTGTTGATCGCTTTCCACGGGGCGCCACCACTGGTTGACTTCACCCTCAACTCAATCAAATATCATCAAATTTAACTATTGTATAACATGTAAATACAGATTGGAAAGATAAAAATGTTTGTTCAATAATAAAAAAAAAAATGTAATTTAACTAAATGAAAAAAACATAATTTTTGTTCTTATGACATATGAGTTAGGTACAAGTTCCTACGAGTATTCAATTTATACGAGTTATAAAGTATATTTTTATAACTTATGAGTACTTACGTCAAGTATAGAATTTCCAATATACTGTTCTGGCAATTTTTTTGAGACTGGACTAACCTTCCGCATGACACCACGATCAGCGATATCTACCAAGTAGCATGTAGGGTTCTTAGGTTCGTTTCACGGCCATGAAGATGACGAGGATACAAAATTGTCTGCATTATTGTGAACAGATGGTGCAATTATACAAACTTGTACTCCTAATCGTCTAGCAACTGATTCAAATATTACACACAGCAAAAGTACAGAATCTTTTCTCCGTACAATAACCTAAGTAAATTAATTGTATCATTATTGACTATGAATAATAAAATCACTGAGATGAAAACATACCTGCTGCAACAAATATTTGTAACAATAACAAACCAGTTGATCTTCTGAAAATATGATTTGTCTTATGTGGTCAAGTATAAACACTTTGATGGTTTCATCAAATAAGTTTTCATGTTCAAACAGTCGCAGAGGATTTACTGGGTTTACTGAACAAATGTGCAATACACTTGAACATTAATTACGATAACACACATCAATAGCTATGTTATTTCAACTTTTGTCTGTGAAAAACATTAGTAACACAATTATCACCATTCATTACAAATGAATCAAAATTACATAGCTTTTTTTAGGGTAGACTTACTTATATCACAATATGGTAAGTTAACCATACGACACCACCAACGTTCAATTAAGTAAGATCCTCGTTCAACAATCTGTTCTTAAGAAATTACATAACTTGTAACCAAAATACACTTGATGTGCCATGTACAATAGATCACAATTTTCATTACTGCTGAATGATAAAAATAAATATTGATTAGTCAAACATTATTTGACTTTACACTAAACCACAAAAATACTATTCGTTACTCTGTAGTTGCTTGTAAAAAGCTGCAATTGCTGATAGAATATAATATTGATGGCCTTCATTTTTTGAGTGCAAATAATGACTAAACTATTATGAATGATATGGTATATGTCTTAACTTCATGTACTTGTATGGCATTTGTATAATTTCAGCAGGTATAGCTTTATCTATACTCATACGCAACATGAGCTCGTCTTTCCAAGTGTTTTGTTCGTCAATAACAACTCATTGTCCAACAAACCGTATCTAACACAAATAAAATATCCGTTATAAGCAAGTAAAAAAAAGTACAACACACAAGTATAGGTACCTACTTTTGTATGAATTTGGATTCGGTGAGAGTTTTGTTCGTGGAACAAACAGTTTTTGCGTTTGGAATGCGAAACAGCGAGGTTCAAGGCATCAATCAATTTCCACGAGTCACAGCAGCAAATATACTCAATCAATTCTGTCGGCAAGTCCAGGATTGTGGTAGTGGCGGTATTCCGATTCGAGGAACCAGTGGTCATAGTATCAGCAGAGTTGGTGGACGAGTACGCATGACGACGACGATTTTGTCGTTGGTGTCACGTTGTTGTTTTAGATCGTGGTCGTCAATCTTCAAATGCCCAATCAGACGGGCCACGCATGTTCGCAACTATTCTAGTGATCGCTGTCCGAGGCTATCCAAATAACTGGAATTAAGACCAGTTCCTAATGTTCGGAGCCGACTGCGTTCGTCCGTGATAAACGTTCCGCAGACTATAAACCGGAGCACCGGAGCACCGGACCAATATTACAGTAAACTAGAACCGAGCGGCACCCGCGCCATCATAGATAAGTATACTAACGCGCCATTTTGAATGTAGTAATGTACTCAATAGGTTTGTTTTTTATGTAAGTGTACACTTTTTCACAACAATTGTTGAAGTGAAGGGGAATTCGGAGAATGGTAGTTGTTGGTTGGTTACCCGGTGGTTAGATTTTATGGTTATACGACAACAAGGGTGTTGCCAACCTTGTAAGATTAAAAAGAATTTGTGTGGTCCGACGTAGGCTGTATTTCAAAGAGTCCAGTTTCATGGTCCTTTGACCATGACCATAGAACAATATGAAAGCGACACTCAATCAGCTGATGGGTGAAGCGTTTACTTATAATATGATCTGAAGTCCGAACGATGAAACTGTTTCTGTACACCAAAATGATGTTATACCCGTATTGAAAAACCGTTTCGCTGAACATTTGTGGGATACGCTACGCGGGAAGCAAGAACATTGAAAAAGAATGTAAAATTTAAATAATTTATTTTATTTTAATATAACATGAAGTCTTATGTACTTATCTATAATTGACTTTATATAGAGTACAATTCAAACCCTTGTACGATGTCCGAGAGTGTGTAATAACAGGATCCACTTTGAAGTGAAAACTCCTATTGAAAGGCTCTGACCTCATCCGCTCGAATCATGATAGTAAACCCGTGAAAATATCAGCGACACTGACATTTAATATAACGATTGTAACGCTTTTAATTCTATATCTGTATGACTGTATGCAGCATTCATTCTATATTATATACGGATATAATATATTGTATATACGTTTCAATATGCTCGTACATTGCAGTAAACACGTTAAATCATTCAGCGATAGGTACTGACAAAATATGTATCTATAACGCTTTCAATCCAAATTATCTAATGTACATACATTATAATACCTACCTATATATATTTATGTGTGTGTGTGTGTGTGTGTGTGTGTGTGTGTGTGTGTGTCTATAGTGTGTGTAGGTATATATGTTTATATATTGTATAATGTATATGTGTGTATGTTTGTAGGGTTTATAACCATATAATAATTGTTTAATTTAGCCCATGAATAATATAACAGTATCCCTAAAATCGTGAAAATCGTAAGAAAATTAATAACTTTTTTATATTCCTAGATCAGTCCCTGCTGTCTTTTTACCATAAAAATTCTTAGATCAGTCTACAGCTGTCTATTGCAAAAAATTCCTATTGTTATATTAATACATTAATGCATTATGTATTATCACATTAATATATAGGTATTTATTGATAAAATTGTCCTCAGTTTTATTATCCCCGAGAATATGACTGGAGAAATGGAAAACAAATGTTATTAATTATTATCATTTGATCACACGGCCCGTGGGTGGAAAAGCGAGATAATATTATAAAAATAATAATAATATTATGATAGCACCTACCTACGCCTACTAAACAAACTGACTCGCATATTGGACCCGCAGTGGAGAATTTTAAACCTTGAAGACTGTATTGATGGAGAAAAATGTTTTGTCATAATATATAGGTAGTAGGTACCTACAACCTACGTAGTCTTACAATATATTTTAAATCTTCTTATCTGCACTGTACAGTTTTTAAACTCTCGCAACTATACCTATATATTATCCTGCAAGCGGGGACTTGAAATATCACATTCAATCGCGAGAGACGGAGCATCGTTCGGGCACACTCACTGTTTTATATATTTTATAGGTCTGCGACGGTCGCCAGCAGCTGGTCTATGTCGATAAATGAGCATTACTATATTGTAAGATCAATTAAAATAAAAGTCGCATAGAACGCCTTCTGCGATTACGATTGCAATTTTGTTTTTCAAGCGATTTACGAGTGAAAATTCACTTGAAAACAATAAACGCGCTGCTGTCTTGTTTGCAAAAATATTTTAATCCTATACTTATAGTCTTACGAAAGCCCCGCAGACCATAGGTACTGCTGTTGTAAGTGTGGAGGTTAGTTAGTTAGTTAGTTAGTTAGCCGTTCAAGTATATTTTGGTGGCTTACTGGCTTATATACCATATTATACGTACCTGTACTGCGAAGTGAAAGGCTGTTATGTATAGTATTAAATCGTCGGCTCTTCTCTTGTAAAAATAATTATAACTGTGTTTTGTGCACCACCATATCTAGACGGAAATGCAAGTGCATAATATTCTTTAATAGGAGACCTGCCGAAAATTATTTATAATTTATTCTTACCCCCAAAAATTATTTCTTTTTATGTTGGAATACCGCTTACTGTATACGGCGCTAGTACATCTTTCAAAATATGATTTTGGAAATTAATCGCGGCTTTAGAAATATTACGGACGATACTCACGATCAGAGTTATTTGAAATTATAATATTATAATAGCAAGTGAGGGCGTATACATAAATACCTACTGTTAACACAGACATTGCAGTGTTGTATCAATATATATTATATTCAATGGTTGTACCAAATACTATAGATTAATTAGACTAATCTATAGTATTTGGTTGTACGATGTATGTAAGATAAGCCCCACCAGAGATATGGGTGCAGTAGACACCAGGGTGTATCTTGACATTGTACACTGTAATCAGTTCGGTTGGAGACCTGGAATGGAATGTGTCGTCCTGAAAGCCGTGACCAAAGTTGTGTGTTTTTTTTTGTGTAATAAGTATTTAGCAATTGAATTGTGTAATAAAGTAGTAACAGTCTTTTCCTAAGATTAACAGGTGTTTTATTTATTATACGAAGAAAGATAGTTAACACTACTTATTATTTTATCACTGGAAAATTGTGATTCCAGATTTAAGTGAATGCAATTAAATAATTACCTCGTGCAACAAAAAAAAAATCAATTAAATTTATAAGAATGAAGATTGAAAAAAAGCTGTTCGAATTTTTTTTTTAATAATTATTATATAATAATAGTAGGTATAGGTAATATGTATAAAAAACGATTACTCAGTTTAAAATTCAAATTTTTATACAAAAGAAAATGGAAAATTGTTTTTTAATTTTAAATCTTTATTTCGACGAACTATAGGTATATACACCTTGTAAGAGAATTTTAAATGATTATTTATTTTTAAAAAAATTTACTTAGATTATTTAACATTATTATTTATTATTTTCAACCAGTGTGGGTTTAAAGTCTCTATAGAGCTACTGTTGATGTTTTTCAATGTTTTGAGGGTCGTGTTTGGGTTTTTGTTTCAAGGTTTTTCAGGGATTTGTCCTCATGAACAATTTGAAAACGTGAGAAAATCAAAATAATATGACCTTTCCAAAGTAAAATTTACATCCACTTGACAATTGGAAATAAGGTAAAGTCAATTGGATCACTCCTCCAGAAAAATCATCTCAGACACAATGATGTAGGTAATCATCTCAGACACAATGATGTAGGTACAACAATCCGGAGGGGATGTATGGCCTGGAGGGGACGTATCTTCCGGAGGGGACGTAATGCTAACGCAGTCCGCCTCCGGTTCTCGATACCATGGGGGAAAAAAACAAAGGTACAACAAAATATATTACATACATTCCTCGTTTCAATCAGAATTTAATATACGTGCTTAAGAATACTGTTCATTGTCGGTATTCGTTTTCATTACTTTAAATAAAAATGAAAAAAAAAAAAGTATCAAAATATACCAACTTTATTACTTAATCAATAGACAATTGGAACTTATTTGAGCTCTTCTGCTGTACAAAAAAACAACTTTATGTCTTTGTATACTGTAGTAATACCTACTAGTTTTAAATGGAACTATTTAAATAATGAAATAATATAAATCCGGTATAATTCGATGGATCATACAGGATATAAATGGCAAAGTGACATTATTCAAGGTTTTAAAATTTCGAACTACGATAACGTTTAATTAAAAAAAAACGTTTTTAAGTTTTTCTTTTAGACAGTACCTATTTGTTTAATATGTAAAAGTTTGTAGTATTGACGTTTATCCAATTTTAAAGTGGTTATAATTATTATTGAAAACGTGTGAAGTTAACAATGTGTAATGTGTATTCAATAAAGTTTTATTTTTTGGAGTTTATATCCCAAGTTTTCAATGATTAAACATTGGTAGTTACTTAAACTAACCAATACTAGTCTGTAAAATAGGTACCTATTGAGAACGTTATATTTGGAAACACGTTTGAGAACGCTCGGTGTTTAATTTTTTTTTCAAACGTTGCAAAATTTAATCCAACGATAATTTGAGCACGATAATCTGTTGATAATAAAATAAAACACTTGTTCGCAGGAGTACTTCTGACGTTATGTGCAGTGCAGTTCTGTGTGTCGTGATCGATATTCCACTTTAAGGTAAATTTAGGTACCTATTTTATTATTACATCAGGGCTGAAGATTTTGAGGTCTTATATAATATTTATTTATATGATGTTCGTTCAACCATTTTAATTGGCTTGGTTTAAGGTATAGGCAGATCAGACATGTGCCTAGGCCTATGTGTAATAAATTATTAAGAAAAGTAGGTAGATAGGTACCTAACTATTATTTTATATTAAATAAATAAATATTTGAATAATATCATCCCTGTATTTGCATAGTTTGAAATTTTAAGTATACCTATACTAGAAATTCTCAGCTCTAATTTTAAGTTACCTATTACTTATTAACTAGTTATTTAATCTTATACTCTTAACATACACATTGTTGCAATTCACTAATATTAGTAATATCTCAGGAAGTTTGACAATTAGGTATATTGAATTTTTCCAAGGTTAGTTAACAGATTTAATATATATAGAACTAGTCTTGTAAAGTATTTGAGTTAATATATTTAAATACTTTTATAGTATTTTAAATACTGTATTGCAGCTATTTGTTTTTGAAATTCAAATACTTTAAAAATTCAAAACAATTATTCATCAGTCTTCATGTGTCAGATTTGTTTTGATAATAACTTGTTATATTTATTTTAATTTTTCAGTATACATTTAAGAAGGTACAAATAGTTCTAATTCTACCTAGTTTTATGCAACATTACACTATTTTAAATTAGTTATCACAAAATTAATTTTGCAAACTGACTTTTATTAAGTAAAATGATAAAAGTATTTTAAATACTTTAAGAATCAATTCTTTTGTATCTGTATTATATAAGTACAAATTGTAAAGTACCTTTTATAAGATACTATAGGACATATTATGTATAATTACTTATTATTTATTTATCACCTAACTGCTGTTTAAATAACATGTTATTATATTAATGTTATGTTATAGAAGAATAAATCTTCTTTGTTTGATCTCACTGAAGATATTTTTTTGAAGGAACTAGTTAATAATGTTGGACAAAGATCAAAATTGATGAGTGAACTAAAAGAATTAAAAATTTTAAATAATAATGAAACGCTACTAAATATATTTAAAAACTTAACAATATCTTAATTGTGTTTAGACTGTTGAATGTTTGATGAAAATATTTATTTTGTTCAAGTTAAATTCTGTTGAGGTACCGTATGCTCCTGGTGAATATGAGGATACTGCTATGGAGTATCAGTACTAATCATATGAGCAAAATAGGTATATAATATTCTGGTTTTCTTTTTTTAATGAATTTGGTTCAAATGTAGAATCACAAAACAATAACCCAGAAATACCTGAAGTTTTCAAAAATAGACTAGTTAAAGCATACCACAAATCCAGATAACCAACTACTTAAATTTACTACTACAAGTACTTCAAAAGTAAAGCGAAACCTAAGGAACTTAATAATACTGTCAACTCAATTACTTCTACTAAAATATTGTATATACATTATCACTAAAACAGCAACTTCAGTTGGCTAAGTTCATCAAAAAGTGATGTTTATACTATTCCATTAATAATAGGAAAAAAATATTAAATACCTTATTAATATTAAAACCCCAATACAAGCTTGAAATGTATTGTACTAAAACACAATTTGGATCAATTCCATTTAATTGATGAAAGATTTGTTTTGTTTGGATTGCAAACAGATAAAAAAAAAACAAGATAAGATATTATTCAAAAAATGAGTACTATAGAAATAAAGTCAGTGATATTAACAATACTAAACTAGTAAGAAATATAATTGAAGAGATAATTAATAAAAATAATATTATAAAAACAAAAAACCTACTTCACAAATAACTCACAAAATGAATTGATCGATATAAATACAGATACACATAAATGTGCTAAATATTTAATAATTATTTTATTTTATTTTATTTTATTTATAATGATTAACGCCAATCGGCTTTTATACAAAGTAATTACATACAAAATAACAACAAATTTAAATAACAATATTAAAATAGTAAGACATAATAACAGTATTAAATATAGTAAGACAGCAAAAACCAATAATATGGTGAAACAAAAATAAAGGGCCCAGGCACGAAATTGCCGTGGGTGAAAAAATAGCAAATTAAAATCAAAACGGGTAACAAAATGACAAGTAGAGTCGATAATTCAAAAAATTACAATAACAATATTGAAAATATAACTGAGAAAAAATTTAAATTTATAAAATGTACACATAAAGAGGTATTGCTAATAATTAATACACTAAGACAAGGTACATCATCATGATTTGATTCCATCTATTCAAATATATTATTACACAATTCACATTATGTTGTAAAACCACTTACTCATTTAATTAGTTTAAGTTTTTAAAAGGTGTATTCCCACAAATATATTAAATAGTAGTTATAAGCCCTATTTATAAAATAGGTGATGCGAGAAAGTTGTACCTACAATTATTGACCAATACTTAATTATCTGTCATAGCTAAAGTTATTGAAAAATGTACTAAAATTCAATTAAACCGGTTCACTTTAGATAAAAATACTTTAAGTGGTTATTGTGATTATAATATAAAAATTATAACTTTATTATAATACAAGCGGTTTTTACATGTGAAGTCGAATACATAGGCAATTACTGCAAGTCCTGTCTAATGACTTGTGTTCTTTTCAATTCCTCATAACTCGAGTTATGAAAAATGCGTGTAGAAATGTCGAACTATACAATTTGTCTTAAAATTCTATCAAATTAAAAAAACCTATGTTTTGTGATTGGTGCCCTTAAAAGATTATCAACAATGTATAATAATATTACCCTAGATGTACATTTTTTCTCATGAACAGTAAATATACATTTTTGGGGGACGAGGTGGCTGAGCGTCCAACGCGTCGGCTGCGGCGCAGCCGATCCGGGTTCGATCCTTGGTCACCGGGCGGCATTATTCTTCGGGCAAGTCACGGTGTCCGGAGAACAAGAGCTGCCATCCCCCACCCGGGCATGGCAGATACCTACGGGTGCCCAATCAAAAATTCTGCCAAAACACAAACACTCACGTGTAAAAACCTACCATTCCAAACCCTACCACCACCACAATACAAAATTTAATTTATTATATTTAAAATGTATTTCATACTAATGGTCTTAATACAATTATACAGTAAACTCAACTGCTCAGAATCTGTGATGACTTAGCATTGCATTCAAATTTCTCTTTAAATAATTATACTAGCTATTTGTACTACCTACGCGATTTTTGTATTTCAAACTGCTTTTTTAAAAATAATATCAATAAATTCTACATAATAAGAATTTGTATTTCATGTACAATTATTATATTTTTAAATTATTATGAAACCATTTAATGTTTGTTATTTGATGGTAAATTATCAGAATTAAAAAACAATGCACAAACTATGTATAAAAAATATTTATTAATATGGTTACTTCTCAAAAATGACAAAAGTGACCATGAATTATATTTGTTGTATAGGAAACTGAATCTTGGTCATATAATAATATAATTAAAATGTATAGCAAAAATTGTTATAAAAATTAACTTATTACAATTTAGTAATCGATGGTTCCTTAGTTTAGTACCGGCGTGGACACAAATATTTATTTATTGTAGGCATATTCACATTCGTTCCAACATGTCTAACATGTTTAACTTCATTGTCAGGCACTCTATTCAAGAGCTCCAGTTCAGAACTTACGACATTTACATAGTTTAATAGTGTTTTGTATTTTTTATAATAGTAGCGTTGTTGTTCTTTACAAATAGCTATATTAGTCATTTGTCTGGTAATATCTGATTTGCCATGTGTAGCCATGATTTCAGCAAATTTATTGAAGATTATGTTTTGAAGCTGTTGTTGAGAAATTGTTTTCGACTCATTGTTATGAATCTAGAATCAAACATCAATAAATCAATTACATGTTCCCCACAAATATATTTTGATAAAATGAATTCTTACCAACAAACATAATGGCCATTCCGTATTATCATTTTGTACCTCGGGTAATTGATTGTGCAATACTTTCCGGATCAACGGTGAGATTATCAGAGCGTCTTTAATTTCCTTTTCAGTTACAGCCGTTGGTGCATCGCAATTATCGATGTTCCTCTTACCACAATTTGTAGTTGAGCCATCATCATTTTCATTAACTGAGTGTTTAGTTACATCACCAGATAATGGAGAAATGCTGTCACTGCCGTTGTCTGGTTTGGAATCCTTTGGGCCATTACTTAGCTTCTCGATTGTGCATAACTGAGTGTCTGGATCATTAATCACAATCTCACTACTGTTTTCTTCGGCCGGACCTTCATGCTTGTCATTGTGTTCCATGACAAAAATGTTTTATCTAACAGTAATGAGAAATTGTTTAATAACAAATATTATCTTCTATTGATTGGCCAATTATACCACGATAGTAATATTATAATGTATTGGATGTTGGTCGAACAACGTTGAACTCTGGCTTTAGGGTCTGGACATGGACGATGGACCACCTGACGCTGGAGAAAAATAAACCGTAATAAAAGGATACATTAAACAAAAAGTCCACGTCACTGCCTGAATACTATCGCTAGTCGCTACCTTTGTTCTGTGCTATGACAGCGGCAATACTCTACAGTGTCACCACAACAATAATTTTACACTATATTGCATGAAGAGTAGAGTAGAATAAGGAGACCAAACTCGTACCACAGATTATATAATCTGTGCTCGTACCGCCGCCCACATGAAATAAACGTACCGAAATGAGTCGCAAGATCAAACGGCCACAGGCTGCGCTGCGTGCGCTAGGGTTGCTCCTTTAAACCCGCGCAGTATAGGGATTATTCATGTCTTTGCCTTTTTTGGAAAATATATACATTATTTTGAACCATGACCCTCTTTAGATTTTATAGCTTGTACGATTACGCGTTTATACATGTTCATATGTGTAGGTATATTTCATAAATATTATTTTTATTTTTGAGTAAATAATTAAATTATACAATCCGTTAACACTATACCTACCCATACGGCTATACCTATATTATCTTTGTTCACAGCAAGTCTGAGCCCGATACTATTCGATACACGGATACACCATACATAATAATATTATAATATACATACGTGTTTTCTAACGATTTTTTTTATACCGATCTATGTTTCGTTACACTCAAATTTGTTTCTTGAATAACATATGTTTATGAAATATACACTTATGCACAAGCATGAATGCGTAATCGTACAAGCTATGAAATCTAAAGAGGGTCATGGTTCAAAATAGTGCATATATTTTTCAAAAAACTCAAAAAACCATGAATAACCCCCATACCTACTACGCTGGTTAAAGTAGGGCACTATAGTTACAGGTATGCTACCCCGCCATTTTGCGACTAATAATCTTATGTGAATACTAGCTCTAAGTGTTACTCGGGGCCCGTTGGACTCGCTGAGAGTGGGTACCGATTTTGGAGACAATGTCGTTGCCCGTTGGAATTATAAAAGTCGCAAAGGTTGTAAGACGAAAGTTTAGGATTTGTGATAAGGATAGTGATATGGATTGGAGATGAGGCTAGACGCTTTGGCGGGAATGTTAAAAGTTTGAGCGTCTAGAAATCCGTCACAAACGTTGTAAATGGATAGGCTGGATACGATCCCCAGGATCACCTATATAGAGTATACCTGCACATAGAGTGGTATGTGCTTTAGCATGACCGGTGCTTTATCTTATGTAAAAAGTGTAAAGTCGAAAACCGTGTTGGAGTTTATAGCAAGTCAGTCATCTCAAGTCAAAATCGATTAACTTTCAAGTTAGGCAATCCGACTTTTGCCACAGCAAATCAGGTAGGCCGACGTCAAGAGGCTATAAGTGAAAACCCTATCACACAACTTACGAAATAATTTACGAAAAATTCAAACTATATACAATATACATACAAACAAATATAATATGTATTATTGTGTGATATAATATAACAATGAACATTTTGAGAAATGTGCAATTATAATTTCTAAAAAAAATTAACATGTAGGCAGATAGTTAGATACATATTATTATATTAACCAATACAATACATATAAACATGTACCTATAGTGTATATATATTAATTTAAAAAAAAAGCAAAAACCTGCATGTTAAAGTGTCTATCAAGTGAATCATCACCGTTTAAGACGAAACTAAAATGAGCAATCCGTCTATCACCTATATATAGTAGGTATATGATATACCAGTGGCGGAACTACGATTGTTGAGGCCCGTGGATACAATTTTTTTTGGAGGCCCTATATCAGTAATTTAAATTTCTAAATATTGAGCTGTTTATTTGGATTCAATAAAAAATAAAATGTAATTTATAGTAAATTAATAATTTATTGAATTATAATTTCGGAAACCCTAATAATAATATTTTATTTACAATGAGCAAACGTCTTCACCAATAACGATAAGTTAAATTTCTTAGCACGCTCATTTTTTATCGAAATCATCGCAAGACCACTAAGCCGTGTTTGGAGACGGTGCTTCTTGATAAATTTTAATTAATTTAAGTTTTGAGAATGATCTTTCTGCACTCGCCACAGTAACTGGTAATGTAAGGTGCAAGTAAAATGCCGTTAATAAGTCAGAGAAACTAGTAATTAAATTATTATTTAAAAAAAAAACGATTTGCGTAAACGGTAATTTAAAACAATATATTTATTAATTTAAATTATATTTTAAGTCAATTTTGACCCAACAGATAAAAACAATAATAAATAATATGGCTTTTTAGCGGTTATATGAATATGAGTTAATATAATAAATAATAATATGTAGTGATTCTCGATGGAGGTATAAAAATATTAAATGCGAGTCAAGGAAAATAGTGAAGTCTCCATTAAAAATACTAATAAAATGTATAATATATTATAATACGTGACAATCGCGTCCACGACAATATAAATATATAATATAACGTGACGATTTGCGAACACGGTATAATAATAAGATTGTCGATACCTACTCGATATGGGATTTCGCGTTCACGATATATTTAATAAAAGTAATATGACAACTCACGTGATGATACTTTTCATAAATTTTAAATTATAAGGTTATTTAATTTTCTTTAAAATGTAATATATTATGTAGATGAAATATATAAATATGTTCAAAACCATTAGTTTTAATAAATTAAATATTAAATTTCTAGTATTTACGTAACACACTAACACCAATGACCACAATGATTGTTTACGAATCACAATAATTTAATGTTGTCTTTCAATGCAAAATCATTGTAAGACTACTTACCTAAGTAACTTGGATGTTGTTTCTGACACCAAACGGAAAACACCCTCAAACACCAGTACACCACTCTCATATTAAAATCGTTAGAATGAAATGAAAAAAATAATTTCTTTCTTGGGCCGTAGACCGTAGTATAATATAATCTATTTCTATAATTTAGTATACCAGCTATTATAGGCTCCACTCCGAATTACCACGTATCGCCGCCGCATGCCCGCATATCGCAATAACTAGACTTGACAATATTATTATACCCTTATTAATAGTACCTACCTACTAAATGTATGGTTATCCGTATACACGTTTAGTCAGGGCCGCATTTAGGGGGGGGCACTGGGTACAACTGCCCCGGGCGCCAGTATTTTAGGGGCGCCAAAATTTTGTAGACAGAAATGTCTTTACTTATGATTTTTTTAAATTGTATACTTTAAATTATTTTTATAACAATATTATATAATATAATCTAGTATAATAGTATTGTATATATTATTATAGTATAATAATTATGCTGTTTGAAATTTATTATTTAAACAATCAATGTATTTATACTTTATAGCAATATAGCTACACTGCTACAGCGATCGATAATTATTAATATACCTAGTTCCCAAATTTGTTGTGATTATGTCAATAGACATCAGTTATTTATAATAATACGGGCAATACCAATACGGCGTATTGATTTTATATTACATAGTTTTGTACTTATGATTAAAATAAAGGAAGTTCCAAAACAATGATCTTGAATATTATTCTATATTATAAATATCATTCATTTAAATAGGTAATATTATTTAATTATTTCATATTTGCTATTAAATTTTGTGTTTATTATAATCATTATTTTTTGTAATTTCTACAAAATTAAGTAAGTAAGAATCAATTAAACTATAGGTAATTATTAGGTATGTAGAGATTCAAAAATAATTAATGTTTAATAACTGGTAAGTTGACAAGTTGTTATGAAACAAATTTATGCAGGTCACTTTTTTGTCACTTTTATAAATAAATTCAGTCACTTTTTTTAAATAGCTTAAACCACTACCAGCCCTGCAGTATATAGTTACATTAATTTTATAAAATACTATATACAATAAAATATAAAATATTTATTTGCATAGTTTTATATAATTTTATTTTATTTATCCATGAAGTACCTACTTAAATATGTTTAAAAAAAAAACAACTTAATGATACTAAATTATTAGCAAGGTTTGAGTGACATAAATTCCAATATATCTTTGCGGAGGGATCAAGCAATTACTAAACAATATTTTTTAAAAAAGCACTCTTAAACAAATATTCTTTTCTTCGCTCAAAATCTAAAGGGTAATGAGGATCTACCTCACATATTTTCCGTGGGAGGAGCAATTTTTTTTTCACCGGGGCTTGGGGGGCGCCAATTTTTTTTGCACCGGGGCGCAAAATGTCTAAATGCGGCACTGCGTTTAGTAATCACTTATCAGTATACTTTGTATTATTTCAGTATTCAATGATTTTATTTACTTGAACCGAAATTTTTTAAAAAGTACATCATTTTGATGAGGGGCGCCGAGGCCCCTTTCACGATGAGGCCCGCGGAACATCCCGCCTTCAATCATATGCAGTTCCGCCACTGGGTATATCACATAGAGTGGTATGTGCCTTCGCATGTAAGGTGCCTTTTCTTATGTAAAAAGTGTAAAGTCGAAAACCGTGTTGGAGTGTCTAGCAAGTTAGTCATCTCAAGTCAAAATCAAGATTAACTTTCAAGTTAGCCACCTAGTTAGGCAATCCGAAATAAAATACAAACTATATTTATATAAAAATCATGGAAATTTTAAAAAATATGCAATTATAATAATTCCTAATAAAACAAATATAATATGATGTACCTATTTATTGTGTGATATAATATGACAATGACTTTAAATAATAATAATGTACGATAATATGTTCCTGTATTATATTATTATTTAATTTATATGAAAAATATAGTGACAAAAAAAATGCAAAAAAAGTCGGGTATCGGGCGGCCGTGTAAACCATAATATATGGCAATAACGGTTTCGACGCCCG